ATAACTCCTTAGCTGGTAGGAATGTACATTTTACTCCCCCGCCCCCTTTTCAGTAAATTCTCCCACTCCTTTCCCCATGCATGCTTCCTAAAAGCAGGAGAAATCTGTGTTTCTTTTCTTTTGTCCCAGCCCGCTCTGGGCCTGGTAAACTAGGCTGGAAAGGATGAACGGGCTTGCATGGATAGCAGGGTCTCACAGAGGGGGCCACCCTCCGTCTCCTGTTTTGTGCCCTGCTTTCCCACCTGATACAGTGTGGCCACCCCTCGCTGTCATTAGACAGTCTTCTGGGGCACCGATAGGAATTTCAAGAAGGAGTACAGAGGACCAACCAACATGGACTGTGCGTTAGGCCGGGTCCTAGCGCAGTCCTTTCATAATGCGGACAAGCATCCCCATTTTACTACTTAGAAACAAAACCAGAGAGGTCACATAACCTGCCCAAGTTGGCACAGCTGTTCTGTGCGGAGCCCCGTACTGCGGAGCACGCTACCGTCGGTGCGACGGAAATTAAAAGCAGCCACAGTTATCATTTTCCTTTCGTGTTTTGCGGGACTCACGCTGTATTTCACATTCGCATCTTCACCCGAAATTTCTCCTTCCCTGGATTCTGAAGTGCTGAGCAAGGGCCCCACTGTCCACCCTGTCACCCAAACCAGGAGCAGTCCTCCTTGCCTGGCCCGCCCAACTCCCTTTTCCTCCTGCCTGACCCAGCCTCCACCAGTTCTCACTGAGAGCATAACCCCAGGAGGCGCCATGCTCCATTCCAGCGGTCCGTGGCATCTGGGTAAAGAGACACGGCCTGGTGTGAACGGGCAGTGGGTGGCTTGCCCCCCTGAGCCACGCTGCACATAGCCCAAGTGACCCTCACAGACCTGAACAGACCCTCACAGAGCCTTCTTGACCATCCCCAAGGCCAAAGGAACATTCTCAGCCCTGGCCGGCTGCACCTTGGTCCCCACTCCCCCTCCCTCCTTGACCACACTGCCCAGGGCTTTAGAATAACTAACACACCAACTCAGTTACTTGTCCAAGGTTCTCCAGCCCATGAGAGAGTAGGCTGGGGCTCCAACCATGCCCAGGCCTGGCTGCTGTCCCGAAGTCCCTTCCTGGAAGAGGAAGCCCAAGTTCTCTGAGCTCTTCTCCGTGGCTACCTTGTTTGGAACCACCTTTGCCCTTGACCCAGACCCAAGCAGGACCATGGGCCACAGCTGCTGCCATCACACACCCCGATGCCAGCCCTGCTCTGGCACATTCTACCTCCACGGGCACATGCCCAGGAAAGGGACTGCCACCTCAAGGTTTGCAGATAACAGCTTGGTGCACAGGGATATAACGGGGAGCTCCGCAGGCAGGCACCCTACAGCTCTCTGACCACAGCACCATGGCCTTCCTCTGGCTTCTCTCCTGCTGCGCCCTCCTGAGCACAGCCTTCGGTGAGTTCGGGGCAAGCAGAGGCCGGGAGGGAGGTCTCTGCTCCCCTACCACCCTGGGGCCAGAAGGGGCAACAGAGTCCCTGCTCCCTGTTCAGCTGCACGCGGAGCTGTGAGCCTGAGCGGGTCTCTCTCCCTCTCTGAGCCTCACCAGCCCCACTGCCACAATGGGACCAGGATGGGACCAGTCGAGCCAGGGCAAGGCCCCCAGGAGGACAGGGAGGCCAAGTCCAGAGGGAGTGAAAATCCTTCTGAACAGCTAGTGGCTCCCAGTCAGGCTCAGAGGACGAGTTGGTGGGCAGGTGAGGCCTGGCCTCCACCAGCCCTTCGGGACCCTCGAACCCAGCACTTTGAAGCTTGCGTTCACGGAGCCCTTAATCTGTGCCAGGAACAGAGCAAGTTCCTGCTTTGCCTGCTGAGTCTCCTTCAGCTTTCTTTCTTTTTTTTTTTTTTTAAGGATTTATTTATTTATTTGAGAGAGAATCTGAGTGAGGGGAGGGGCAGAGGGAGAGAGAGAGGGAGGCAGACTACTCTGAGCATAGAGCCAGACAGGGGGCCCGACCTCAGGACCCCGAGATCAAGACCTGAGCTGAAATCCAGAGTCGGTTGGTCAACCCCGGCACCCCGTCTTCCTGCATCCGCATCCCAGCTCTGTGAGGGTAGCAGCTGTATGATCCCCTCTCTGCAGATGGAAAGATGCTCAGAACATTAAGGCTAGCCAGTGGTGGGGCTGGGCCCACACCCCAGACCCCTGCCTCCAGCCCGTGCTTAGGCCCGGCCACCACCTTGCAGCCAACCTGCTGGGCTTGTCTGGGCTGAAGCACATGTCAGACTGAGTTGTCCCTGGGGGTTCCTGGGAGAGTGGGGAGCCCGGGCCCCCATCCCTTACCCCATGCTCCCACCCCCAGGCTGCGGGGTTCCTGCCATCCACCCCGTGCTGAGTGGCCTGTCCCGGATCGTCAATGGGGAGGACGCTGTCCCGGGCTCCTGGCCGTGGCAGGTGTCCCTGCAGGTAAGGGAGGAGTTCTACCCCTGAGTGGGGACACACTGGGGTATTGGCCCACCTGGGGTCAGCCCGGGGGGCTGCTGGTGTCCAGCCAACACAGACTCCTCCCCGTCTTCCTCCAGGACAGCACTGGCTTCCACTTCTGCGGGGGCTCCCTCATCAGCGAGGACTGGGTGGTCACTGCCGCCCACTGCGGGGTCAGGTGAGGACCCAGGGTTCCCAGGAAACCCCTTGGTCGGGGGGAGACTCTCAGCACTGACGGCTGGACCCGCCCAGGCCTGCCTAGGAACCTCCTTGTGCCTCAGTTTCCTTGTTTGGGAACATGTAGAAAACCCGACTCGTGCCAGTCTCCCAAGGGTCCCCGGGAAGGAAACACCCAGCGGGCTGTAGGCGCAGGTGTTCCGGGGACATTTGCTAATATTTGAGGTCCTATCTCTGGATCAAGAACTAGGAGCACATGCACACAGGTACACACGCTAACACACGCAGACTGCACCTGCTGTGTGTGCCCCCTGCCTCATAGCAGGATCCCCCTTCTCTCTCGGGCCCTCTCCAGAACCTCCCACCAGGTCGTGGCTGGGGAGTTTGACCAGGGCTCCGATGCTGAGGACATCCAAGTGCTGAAGATTGCCAAGGTATGGTGGATGGAGTCCAGGTGTGATCCTGGGGTGGAGCGGGGGGCAGGCCCTGGGATGTGTGGTGCCCAGGCTAATGCCTGAACACCCCCAGCTGCTCCCCACCTCCACGGGATCCCATTGTGTCCTGGGCCTGGCCCCAGGCTCCTGGGGCTGCAGAAGGGGTTGCCATGTTGAAGACAGAAGCACTGGGGTGATCTGGGGTGGCCCAGCGCCCTGGTTTAGCCCCGTGTCAGCCTCTTCCCGGACCCCAACCACAGCCACCCGCCCCTGCCCCCGCAGGTCTTCAAGAACCCCAAGTTCAACATATTCACAGTCAACAACGACATCACCCTGCTGAAGTTGGCCACGCCCGCCCGCTTCTCCCAGACCGTGTCCCCCGTGTGCCTGCCCAATGAGAACGACGACTTCCCTGCAGGGACCCTGTGCGCCACCACTGGCTGGGGCCTGACCAAACACACCAGTGAGCGCCCTCCAGCTGGGTGGGTGGGAGACGGGGGGGCCGGGCTGCGGTCACTGACCTCCACCCCTATCCTTCCAGATGCCAACACCCCTGACAGGCTTCAGCAGGCGACCCTGCCCCTCCTGTCCAACACCGAGTGCAAGAAGTTCTGGGGCAACAAGATCACCAACCTCATGGTCTGCGCCGGGGCCAGTGGCGTGTCCTCCTGCATGGTACGGTCTTGAACTCTCCCTGCGCCCCTTCCCTCCCAGCCCGGCGTGGGTTCCAGCAAAAGCCCAGGTCAGGGGCCTGGCCAGAGAGAGGAGGTAGAAGCCACACGCAGGCCTCTTTAGACGGCCTGACACTCTCTCCCTGGAATTCCTGCTTGAGCTGTTGCAAAAACGCTTAGTTCTCCTGGCCAAACGCCCCCGCCCCCGGGTGCAGTGCCGGGTACAGCCTGGGTAGTGGACCATGGCGCCCAGAGGTCTCCAGACGGGGTCGGGCTCCATGGCCCACCCGCACCACCCGTGCTTCCTCCCTGTCAATCAAACCAGCTTTATTAGGCGTCTATCACAGGGTCCCAGGCGATGGCCCAGACTTTCAGGGGCACAAACCACGCAAGGAGCTGCTGTAGCTTCTTTCGTAATCCTTCATAATCCTTCATAATCCCTCCAATAGGCATGTGCCATGTGTCCACGGGCTGCCAGGCCCTAGTCGGGGCTCTGGAACAATGTCCAGGGGCCCCTGGGCCAGGCCGCCTGGGCTGCCAGATCCAAGCCCCCCGTCTTTCTCCCTGTAGGGCGACTCTGGGGGTCCCCTGGTCTGTCAGAAGGATGGAGCCTGGACCCTGGTGGGCATCGTGTCCTGGGGCAGCAGCACCTGTTCCACCTCCACTCCTGGCGTGTACGCCCGCGTCACAGAGCTCATGCCCTGGGTACGGCAGATTCTGGAAGCCAACTGAGTCTCTGGCCTCACCCTGCCATCCCTGCTGACCTGCTCCCACAAAGCCTCAATAAATCAGTAAAAGACACATTGATGATGTGCTCTCCTGTGTTGGGGCCCCTGAGACCTCATTGTGCTCGTGAACTTGGGTCTTCACTGGGACAAGTGGCAGGAGGTATCTGGAGGGCCTGCCTTTGGTCTTGCTCCCAAGAGATGACATGGGACCATGGCCCCCACTCCTGGCTCCACGCTTCCACCCCGGGAAGCAGCAGGGGCCTGGCCCTCCAAGCCACGCTCAGGGTGATCAGGGCCCCACTCCGGGGAGTGGGCAGCTGGGGGATGGGCCAGTTGCCGGCTGCACACACCTGTGGTTCCCAAGAACCTTCCCAGGAGCCGCCGCCCAGGCCTGCCTAGGAACCAGGTGCTTCTCAGCCCAGGGACTCATGATAAGGAAGGGGATGGCGAGGCAGGCTGCGATTGGTGGGCTGGGGAATATAATGAGGGTCCTTCAGGCAGACCCCATTCCACCTCCTGAGTCACACGCCATGACCTTTCTCTGGGTTGTCCTTGGCTTCCTCCTCTTTGGCGGCAGCTCCGGTAAGCGCAAAGTTCGGGGTGGGAGGAGGCAGCCCCACACCAGGCCTCTCCCACCCCCAACACCCACACCGCCAGAAGCTGGGACCTGGAGGGCCAAGTCATAGCACCTCTCCTCACCTGCCCCGCCTGACCCCCCGCCGGCCCCGCGGGCTCCCCTCTCAGCCTCTCTGGGTGCCTCTCCTGGGCTCCCCACTCCTGCTCTGCCTAGAGGTCCCTCGGGCCCCTCAGGCTCCACGGGTCATGCTGGACCTGCCTCATCTTGGCCTCCTCCGTTGGCTCAGAAGCGGGGGTCGTCCGGGCTCCTCCAGCACCCACATCCGTCCCCGAGTCACTGGAGTTCGGCCTCCGGAAGGTCTCCCAGGCCGGTCCCTTGGCCCTGCCCCTTCCGTCCTCCTGACTCCCGCAGCCTCCTGGGCTTGTGCTGTTCCAGCGGGAGTAACACTCCGCTGCTACCGCAGACTCGGGGGCCGCGAGAGCTCCGGGGACTCAAGCATGATGTCCCTGCCCGACGACCCAGGACCCTGGGTTTGGAGGATGGAGGCTCCTCTGGGGGCGCACAGTGGGTTGGGGAGCTGGCTACGTAGGAGTCTCCACACCCAGGCTTCTAGCTCCGGGCCCCAACTCCGGATGTCCCCAGCCTCCAGGACCTCCACAAGGGCACCAGGGCAGCCGCCGGCCGGGTCAGCAGGGGCTGGGTGCTGGGTGGCTACAGAGGCCAGAAGTCCAGTTCTTCCGCCTCGGCCCCCGTCCATTGACCAGCCTCCCTGGCCCGGGCCCCCAGGCTGCGGGGTCCCTGCCATCCACCCTGAGCTGAGTGGCCTGTCCCGGATCGTCAACGGGGAGGACGCTGTGCCCAGCTCCTGGCCCTGGCAGGTGTCCCTGCAGGTGAGGGGGAAGCTGAGGAGGGGGCGGGATGGACTGGGAGGGGTCAGGCAGGAGCAGCGAGGCTGACGGTCCCGCTCCCCTCTCCCCAGACCGGCTCGGGCTTACACTTCTGCGGGGGCTCCCTCATCAGCCAGGACTGGGTGCTCACCGCTGCCCACTGCAGGGTCAGGTGAGGCCCGGGCTCGGGCAGCAGGGGCCCCCTGGGTGTCAGGGAACAGCCCTCACTCCCTCCCCAGGCCCCGTCCCAGGCACCGCGCCCTGACGGGAAGGGACCGAGGCCAAGGGCAGGTGGGGAAGACGCTGTTCCTACCTCCCAGCCACAGGCAGAGCCATCACCTGCCGGAGAAAATCCCAACCCTTGTGCCCCCTGCCGCCTCGGACCCCCGCTTGGTCCGGGAGAGCCGCTCTAGTCCAGTGCCTTTGGTGTACAGCTGGGGAGCCAGGCCCCCGGGTCCTCGAGGGAGGGAGAGGTTCAGCCGGGGCTTCCCGCAATGGGCGTCGTGCCCGAGCACCCCTCCGGCGCCCCGAGGCCCCTCTGCCACCTCCTCTCCCCCCAGGAAGAGCCACCGTGTGGTGGCTGGCTTGTCTGATCTCGGCTCTGATGGCGAGGCTGTCCAGGTGTTGAGGATCGCAAAGGTACCTCGAGGGCGGGCGGGTGGGTGGGGAGGCTGCCCCTGGGGGCCCGGGACGAGGGAGGGGCAAGGTGGGCAGGGTGTGCGGGCATGGATGACCCTGGCCAACCTGCTTGGGCCTCAGCCCTGCACTTCTCAGTCCAGAGCCTTCTCTCCCAAGGAGAAAGCTCCTTCACAAATACGGAATGCTGCTTCTGACGGTAAGATGAAATTTTGCTCATTGTAGAAAAGCACAAAAGTACAAAAACTAAATATCACCAATGTGTCAAATGCCAGTTTCCAGAGATTTTGTCTGTGCAGCTCCGTCTGTGCTCCTTTCTCAGCGAGTCCCGCCTGGCGCGGAGCCCTCTGCGTCTCCAGACCTCTGTCCCCGCCTCCCCACGTCAACCCCCAAGTCCTCCCTCTGAGCTCTGCCCAGCCCCCACTACGTCTCCCCAGGTTTTTGAACACCCGCTGTGGGACAGGATTATGGACACCAATGACCTCGCCCTGCTGAAGCTGGCCACGCCCGTCCTGCTCTCCAGCGCCGTGTCCCCCGTGTGCCTGCCCGGTGCCAACGCCAGCTTCCCCCCGGGCTCCATCTGCGCCACCACGGGCTGGGGCAAGACCCAGTACAACTGTGAGTGGCCTTGCAGGGCCTTTTCGGAAGGGAGCCTCGTTCTGATTTTGGTCTAAATCCCAAGCATGTAAATCGCAAACCATAAATCTCTTTTCTTTATTTAAAACCCTCTTAATGAAAAATCTACCAAACACGAAGAGAGGTGACCTTAGGGGCGCCTGGGTGGCTCAGTCGGTTGGGCGACTGCCTCAGGCTGGGGTCAGATGGAAACCAGTCTCCTGTGGGGCTCCCTGCTCAGCAGAGGGTCTGCTTGTCCCGCTCCCTCTGCCTGCTGCTCCCCCTGCTTCGCTCTCTCTCTCTCAAATAGATGAGATCTTAAAAAGTTGGAGGGGGTGGATGCCTGGGTGGCTTATTCGATTAAGAGTCTGCCTTTGGCTCAGGTCATGATTCCAAGGTTCTGGGATCGAGACCTGAATCTGACTCCCTGCTCAGCAGGAAGCCTGCTTCTTCCTCTCCCTGACTGCCATTCACCCTGTTTCTGCTTTCTCTGTCAAATAAATAAATAAAATACTTAAAAAAAAAAAAAAAAAAAAAAGATGAGCTTAAGCACTCTGTCCTTGAAGACCAGCTTGCGGAGAAGCACGGAAGCACCGGCAAGCGTGGCCCCCTCCCTGCCATGCCCCACCGCCAGGCCCGACTTCTCTCCTGACTTGAGGCCAGTGGCTGTGTGTGGCACTGTCCAGGGGGTCGGGGCAGAGGAGGGGCCCTGATCCCTCCGGGCCTGCTGTGTCCCTCCAGCCTACAAGAACCCCGACAAGCTGCAGCAGGCGGCCCTGCCCCTCCTGTCCAACACCGACTGCATGAAGTTCTGGGGCAGCAAGATCACCGACGTGATGGTTTGCGCAGGCGCCAGCGGCGTGTCCTCCTGCTCGGTATGGCCCAGCTCTGCCACCCTGGTGCTGCCCCTCGGACCTCGCGCCGCCCCTGCTCAGCCCAGAGTGCAGGTCCTCTCTGCGCGTGTCTTGGCCCCCTCAATCAGGCCAGCTGCCCGGGCCCCAGCCCAGACCTGGACCTGCAGGAGCAGGGGCCTCTGCCCAAGGGCTCTCTCTGGCCTGGGTGTGCTGTGGGGCTCCTGGGGGCCTCAGCCCCCTCACGCCAGCCCCCAGGAGCTGGGAGTTTGTAGCCCGTTGCACAGGCACTGGCCGGGTCAGAGGGTTGGCCACCCGCCCCAGGCCCTCCGGGAGTTGGTGACAGAGCTGGGGCTGCCGTGGGGCCCACATTGAAGGGTCTCCTGTTCAGTCACCATGCCCAGGCATGTAATTTCTCTGCACAGAACCTGGGCTAGGACAGGTGAGGGCACACCGGGGCCTTGGCACCCCACTTCGGGCTTGGAAACAAGTCCTTTGTCCTCCTGCAGGGTGACTCTGGGGGCCCCCTGGTCTGCCAGAACGATGGAGTCTGGACCCTGGTGGGCGTCGTGTCCTGGGGCAGTAGCTGGTGCAACCCATTCTCACCAGGGGTGTACACCCGCATCACCAAGTTCATTCCCTGGGTTCGTGAGGTTCTGGAGGCCAAATGAACCCCTGCCCCACCCCCCAACTCCTGCAAAACCCAAATAAAACCCTGAGAGCAACCACATGCCTTTTTCCGTCTGTGTCATCGCCAGGGTGCTGAGGGGTGGGAGGATGGCTGCCTTCACTGGGGTCCCCGCTGTGGAGGGTTGACAGATCCTGCCCTTTCTTCTTAGGGGTAGGAGACTGGGGCCCAAGGTCACGTGCAGAACAGTCAGGGCTAGGAGCAGCAGTTCCTGAAACCCAGGGCAACGGCCCTGTGGATCCCCAAGCCCCAACTTAGAGGCCAAGTCTACGTGTAATTCAAGTAAGACGCTCCAGAGTAAGTCCCTGGGTGAAATTATGAGCTTCTAAGAGCAAAGCTCTGGGTGAGGTCTGTGAAAACAAGTTTCTGTGGTGTCCTCCACGGGTTCTCTGCCTTGGAGCGTAGGCCCCAGTGGAGCCCAGTGTGCTCCGGGAGCTGCTTCCGTCCGTGCTGGCTTCCGCTGACCTGGCCATGGGCGCACCCCTCCTCGGCCATCGCGCCCTGTTGTTTGAGGGTGACTCAGCTTCTCTCCAGCAGCCTTGGCTCTCAAGGTCTCGGGGTCATGGGCAGACCTGCCCCCACCTTGCAGGAGATCCCTGGCCTCACGTCCTTGGCCTGGCTCTTGAAGGGACCCACTTGGTCTTCACCTCCCAAGAAGCTTCCCACAGCTTCACCCCAAATCCCCTCCGTCTGTGGCTCCTACCCTGTGGCATCCGAGAACAAGGACACCCCTGCCTGCATCCATGAGGCCTGTTGGCTCTCACACCTCTCACACCAGAGGCTTTCCATTTTTAAAATTTTATTTAAATGTAGACTATTAGTCAAATGATTGGAAAATCAATAATGAAAAATAGTGTTTTAGAGTTTTTCTCCTGGTAGAGTGGCGCTTGCGGTGTGGGGGGGCGAGGGACAGGGCCCCCCTGTGGGGCTAGGATCAGCTCAAGGGGTCCTCTGAGGCCATGGGGATCGAGGGGTCTTTGGGCCCTGGCGCCATGTATGCAGGAAGACCCCAGCCTACTCCTCAGCCTTGGCTCCCGGGGGCCCAGCTCTGCTTGGGCTCTGCTGAGGAAATGCTGTCCCATATCCTGCCCCGTCATAAATATGTACAAATCCCTGGACAGTCTGGGGCACCAGGCCCGGGCAGAGCTGGGGTGCCTGTCCCCACGCCTGTAGCATGGCAACTCTCTCGGGACAGGTGCCCTCCTCCCGACCCCCATCCCTCCGGTCACCGGCTCTCAGGCTGCCGCCAGCTGGCCCAGGACTCGGCGGAACTGCTGGGTGCTGTGGCCCAACTCCTTGACCCTGTCCACCATGTCCTGGGCGGCAGCGGGGGACGGGTACTGCAGGGCAGCAGCCTTGGTCGTGGCCACGATGCCACGCAGAAGGTCACACAGTAGGTTGCTGTAGTGGGTCACCTGGCTGCGCACATCGGCCGCCTTGGCCTGCCGCGACAGCGTGTCCCCAATGAACACCAGCTTGTGGGCGCTGAGGATGACAAACTTGCTGTGTGCCACGAAGATCTTGGGGGGCTGGTTGGTGGCCACGGCAGTGAAGAAGGCGTCCACCGCGTTGGTGAGGGTGGTCAGGTTGGCCTCGCACTGCTCCAGGTAGAAGAGCAGCAGCTGCCGGTCCGAGGGCCCCAGGCTGCCTGTCCGCCCTGGGGCCAGTGGCTGCGCCGGGGTCCAGTTGGCCAGGTCGTGCTCTATGGGCCGGGACACCTCTTGCTCCAGCCGCTCGAACTGCTTCAGCTGCGGCAGAGGGAGAGCAGAGTGAGAACCGCAGCTGCACTGCGCCGAGAAGAGAACGGGACGCCTCCCAGCGGGAGCGGGGACAGGCGCTGTCTCCAGGCCACAGGCAAAGCATGCGCCCGCAGCGGCATCCCTGACGCTCGCCAGTAACTTCTGCCAATCTCAAAAGGTAGATTCCATTTATGTAACATTTTTGAAGCCATGAAATGACCGACACAGAACAAATGAGCAGCTGCCGTGGTTGGGGACGTCAGTCCCTGCTTACTCGGGAAGCAATCACTGCGGGAAAGTGCGTGAAGGGGACACGGACCCGCTTTATACTCTCTGCAGCTTCCTAGGAACCTATCCATACTTCACAATGAATTTTAAAAGCCCCACATTTTTGTCTTTAACATATACGTTGTAAAAAGATTCAAATGGGGGGGTGCCTGGGTGGCTCAGTGGGTTAATCCTCTGCCTTCGGCTCAGGTCATGATCCCAGGGGGCTGGGATCGAGCCCCGCATCCGGCTCTCTGCTCAGCAGGGAGCCTGCTTCCTCCTCTCTCTCTGCCTCTCTGTCTACTTGTGATCTCGGTCTGTCAAATAAATAAATAAAATCTTAAAAAAAAAAAAATTAGGGGCACCTGGGTGGCTCAGTGGGTTAAGCCTCTGCCTTCGGCTCAGGTCATGATCCCAGGGTCCTGGGATCGAGCCCCGCATCGGGCTCTCTGCTCAGCAGAGAGCCTGCTTCCCTTCCTCTCTCTCTCTGCCTGCTTCTCTGCCTACTTGTGATCTCTGTCTATCAAATAAATAAATAAAATCTTTAAAAAAAAAAAATTAAAATAAATAAATAAATAAATAAAAGGATTCAAATGGGGACACCTGGGTGGCTCAGTCAGTTAAGCATCTGACTCTTGATCTGGGCTCAGGTCATGACCTTGGGGTCATGGGATCGTGCCCTGTGTAGAGCGTGCTCAGCAGGGAGTCTGCCTGATTCTCTCCCTCTACCCCTGCCCCCAATCACGCTTTAAATACATTAATCAATTCTTAAAAAAGAAAAACTTCAAACACACCAAGCAGAAAACAAGACAGCTGTCCGCTGGCATCTCAGGTCCCCGGAAGTCACCCCTGGTGGAATATAATCCGGGTCAATTATCTTTTAGAACCAAACACTGAAGTATTTGCAGACGAAAAGCTGTAAAGTCTCCAAGATGGTGTGTGGGGCAAGGCTGCCAGATACTCAGCTTAGCAGCTGTACTGAGAGGGGCTGGGAGTGGGTGAACGCACCCAGGGGACTGCCTTCTTTAGTTTTATAAGGGAATTCAATTTCCCATTATAAAAACTTTAAACAGAAGAGATGTAGCGGGTGTGCCTGGCTGGCTTAGCTAGGAGAGCGTGCAACTCTCGATCGCAGAGTTGTGAGTCTGAGTCCCACAGTAGCGATTACTTAAAATAAAATCTTAAAAAAAAGAAGAAAAAGAAAGGTCATGGTATTTGTAAAACTTGTTACATGTACCAAATGCTGTTTTCTTACAATACATAATTTTTTCAGTATTTCTAGGCTACGTGGTTCATCTGCATGTTTTTTCAAACTGTCTTAGTCTCTAAAATACTTCTCCAATGTACTTATTAAAACAAAAATCCAGCTCTACGCGGATCCATGCAGTTCACACCCATGGTGTTTGAGCGCCCGCCGACTGTTCTACAGCCGTCCTTCCCGCCCCGAGCCAGAGGGCATGGGCCCGCCGCCAGCTGGCCTGTGTCAGTGCAGGGGCAGAGAGGCTCTCCTCGACCGGCAGCCCCTGCCATGCAAGGTACCCGTGTGGACTGAGCTGACTGACTAGGGGCCTGCGGGGCTGTGATCAGCTGTGCACAGGCTCAGGCACAGACAAGTTCTGTTTCATCCAAGATTTCAAGCCTTCATTTAATTAGCAAAACCAACATGGAATTGCCCCTTCCTCATCCCCGAAACAATCGGCGGCAACCTGGGGAGACTCACCATTTGGCCCCCTGAGTCAGGGAGAGGATGCACCCTCACTTTCAGTTCAAACTCTTTTCCATTCTTTGACAATTCTTTTTTTTTTTTTTTTAAAGATTTTATTCATTTATTTGACACAGAGAGAGAGATCACAAGTAGGCAGAGAGGCAGGCAGAGAGAGGAGGAAGAAGGCTCCCTGCTGAGCAGAGAGCCCGATGCGGGGCTCCGTCCCAGGACCCTGGGATCATGACCTGAGCCACAGGCAGAGGCTTAACCCACTGAGCCACCCAGGCGCCCCTATTCTTTGACAATTCTTAATAGCTACCTAAGATTTTACTGTATTGTTTGTGTTTTATTTATTCAAGCAATATTCTGGGGCGGGAGGCTCCAGATTTTTCACTGATGTGGAAATGCGACAACCGACATGCGTGTCTACATTTGATGAGCCTGTACCGTACTGGTGCTTTAGGTCCCTGGCCGAAGGGGACTCGACCTTTCTAGAGCTTCTCATGTATATTCCTATCTCGTCTTCCAGCTTCTAGTAATTTACCTTTGGGATCAAGCAGGTCGGTGAAGTGCTGTTCACGAAGTAATTCTGGGAATACTGGAAATGGCCCACCAACAGGGACCAGATAAATAAATGCCGGCACAGTCCAGAGAAGACAGAGTTTGATAAAGTGCATGTCCATGGGGCGCCTGGGTGGCTCAGTGGGTTAAAGCCTCTGCCTTCGGCTCAGGTCATGATCCCAGCGTCCTGGGACGGAGCCCCGCATCGGGCTCTCTGCTCAGCAGGGAGCCTGCTTCCTCCTCTCTCTCTCTGCCTCCCTGCCTGCTTATGATCTCTCTCTCTGTCAAATGAATAAATAAAATCTTAAAAAAAAAAAAAAAAAAGTGCATGTCCATTTCTTAAATCAGTGGAGATTCCATACATCAGACAGATGATGGATGGATGGATGGCTGATATCTCTAATTATGAACTTTTATCCCTTTATGGAGTATGTTCCATGGGCCAGGCTCCTGCACTTTCCTCCCTTAATTCTCACACTGACCCTGAGATAGACCCACTATGGTCCGTATCTTATAGCTGGGCCAATGGTGGCTCTGCAGGGGACAGGGTGGAGCTGGGAAGCTCTCCTGGCTCTGCCATTCTCCCCATGCCCGGGGTGGGGGTGGAGTGTGGGGTGCGGAAAACCTGATGGGTGATTTTTCTGTGCTTACTTCGTGCTCGTCTGTACTTTTTTTCCCCATCTTCTTAATCAGAATAAAAGTACCTTATTT